AAAAACCCCCCCAACATTAAAATACCAGATTTTATCCTATTTAAATATAATAATGACAAATAAGATGCTTACATTTAAAGGTAATGTCGAATTGCCAAAATGGGTAAAACGACATTAGGAAGCAAAAAATAATTATTTTTATCATTCATGGAAAGCAGAAATTTTTTTCCAAGCCAGTAAATTATGAAATAACTAATTAAAAAATGTAAGATATCTGGGCCACGCAATCACCATAAAATATTATTTTTGGTGATTGAACTCAAAATCATTTAATTGTTATAAATCCAACAATCAGATATTTGATCATTTACAGCCAACAATCATTTACAGCCTTTCCTGGAGCTATTTTAACTTAAAGGTCAGTGTGAAGGATGCAGTGTTTCCTTACTTGTCAGTATTTTTTTTCTTCTTCTTTTTATATGTTTGGTTTGTTTTCTGTTCATTTTCCATTGAAGCTTTTTTTATCCACAGGTTCCTAAAGTCACCTAATCTGAATGAAACATTCTGGCCATTAGTCAGACCAACCAACGGAGCGTTCACTCTCTTCCTGGCTTTGCACACATGTGATACAGTGAGTTACTATCACCTTTACATTTCATTGTGAGAGTCACAGATTTCAAAGCACACAATACAAATACTGACAGGCACTGAACCCCAGAGCAGCTCTTTCATTAAAAGAAATTATTTAACACACAATTTTGCAAATTGGTTAAAACTGAACATCACATATTTTGAACATATCAGTACAAACGCTACTCTGTTTGCATAGCAGAAAGCATTGCATTGTTTTCATCCAAGCTCATCTGTCCGTCCATTTTTTTTTTGCTGCTCATCTTATTCCGGACAGCAGTCTGAGCAGAGATCCTCATACTTCCCCCACCCCAGCCACTTCCTGCAGCTCATTGGAGATTAGAGGAGACATCAAGGGACCCCAAAGCCAGGCGGGACATGTAATCTGTTAAACGTATCTTGAAGTTGCCCTGGGTCCTCTTTCAATGCCCAAACTACGTAATCTAGGAAGTGTGAAGCAGGCATCCGAATCAAATGCTCAAACCACCTCAAAAGGCAGTTCTGTGTGATTCAGCAAATTTTGATATCTATCTGATATCAAAATTTGGGCTAGGGTTAGTACTGCCGATGACAATGCGTCCTAACAATGCATCTAAACCTATAAAGGCAGTTTATCCAGGAGAGAGAAGTATGTCTGTCATGGTTTGCTTGGAGATTAGAGAAGGAGATCTAAAAGCAGACACTGTGGACGACGGAACATATTTTTATGCCCTGGCTTTTAACACACTATAACCCAAGGACTTTGGTCTTATTTGACAGTCTTAGTTATTGTTTTCATTCTTTTATTGTCCTATAATTGTTTTATATTGTTATTATTGTTTTACATTGTTTCTTTTTTAATGGCATTTTTATATTGTTAAGCACTTTGTGCAACATCGTCTGTCTGAAAATGTGCTATATATAATTTGACCTTGACCTTCAAAAAACAAAAGCAAGCCTTTATTATGGTTGATTACATAAAAGCAAAACTAGGCAGCAAGGACAGT